GAGTGAACCCTTGCATCCCCTTCCAGGGTCTCTCAAAGCAGATCATGGTTAGGGTGACTACATTATTGTCTGCTACTTCTTGAGCAGCTGGGGAAATGAGCCCAGCCCTAGCCTTCTTTCCCAGATGGTCACTAGCTTCCATGGTGGGGGACAGCTGCTGACTGGCCCTCCCCAGCTTCTAGTGTGGGTAAAGCAGGACACACTGCACAGTACTGGAGACTCAGCCTATTCCTGGTCCTCCAGCAGCAGGAAGATGCTGTTTTACAGCTGTCTCCATCCTTTTCTCACAGCTATAGGTTGCTGCCTAGCCTCTCTGATGCTGCAGGCATTTCAATCTGCTCCACCTTAAGCATTTCCAGCAGCACAGGATATGCTAGCTTATCAAGCTCCATCTCTTTAAAGATATTTGTTGCTCAGCTGTACTCCATCAGTGCTATGTGGCCTGCTTTAAACCCTCTGCTTGTTTCCTCCATCCTCCCCCCAGCCTCTGGGCTGCCTCATGGCCTGGAGCACTTGTGAGCCCTGATGCTGGGAACTGCATTTGAGTCACACCTCCAGTTCCAAAGGTGGTATCAGCCAGAGCCCTTTCATGCTGCAGTTCCCAACAACATGGTTTGCCCGTTTTGTATTTCAGCACAGAGGCTGCTTCTGGCATTGCAGAGCAGGGCAATGAAGAGATACCTGGGCATCAGCCGTGCTGGCAGTCTTCTGCCTCATATAGTTAGTGAGCATAACAATGTGTCAGTTCCCTGCTGCTACTTGCTGAAGTTCAGAGAGGTTTTCCTCAGGTGACAACTGCCACCTTCTTTCCAGGGTACAGGCAGCGAGCAGCAAGCCTCTGTTGGGAAACACAGACCTGAGCAGACAAGGTTTGGGAGAGCGCTACACAGGAGTCACATCATTAGTGTCTGCTAGTGACCAAGACACTTACATATCCCCCCAGCAAACGAGTTGTTTGTGAGTTTATCAGTTCCTTCAGAACTGAAGTCTGATTTGCAGGCAGTGTGCTCACCAGCTAACTGCAAGGTCTGCATTGCTTGCAGAGGCAAATACCTGCTTAACCCAGCAGACATAGTGTCATTTCCCACATCTCTGAGATCTGTCATAAAAAAACTTATTTGAAATTAAAATACTAACTTCTTTCCAAAGAATTTCATTCAGATGCAATCAGAAATCTAGGGACATATATGCAGAGTAACCAGTTCAGAGAATTGTTCCATGTGCACATCACATAGAGCCACTTGGTAGCAGATGGGGTCTGATTATTTCTATCAGCCCATGAAGTCACACTCTTCACACAACCAATACTCTTGCAAAACATCTAGCAGCCAGTGTGACAGAGGCTCAATATCTACTACTTACATCTCATGGATTTCTGAGGGTAGCAGAATGTCTTCTTTGAGGAGGATCCACTTGCCGCCCTTAATGGCAAGTTCCTTGTTCTACACTGGTGTTTCCTCTTTCAGATGTATCTTTATGTTTGCATCTGCAGACTTGTAGTCTCTCCTGGAATGAATGGGCTTAAAATCACATTAATCCTTCCACCTCCCATTTCCCTCCCTATGAAGTGGAGAGAAGCAAACCCAGCACTGAAGGAAACAGATCAAGTCCACCCCTTGCAGACACACACTTGCTAAAGGAAAAGGGGGCACAAAACCCACCAAACCCCAAAACCTCCACAACTTCTGTAACATCAAGAGAAAATACAGCTTCAGTGCTATTGGGATAACTGTTGATCTTTCTCTGGAGGGAGATCTGTGTTAGGTTTAGCATTGCTTAGTCAACTGCAATTTATACTCTACGTTTCTATTGAACAAATAGGCCACAGAGATGTGTAAAAGTATGTCTTTATTCCACTCTGCAGCACCTACTTGTTACTCTTACAGGAAGACAGGTGAACCTGGTGTCTCCCTGGTTTAATTCATTTTGCAGATGAAGTAAATTGATTCACATAGCCAAACACGTACAAAAGAATATGTCATGTTTTACCTCATTGTGTATTTCAGGTTGTTGCATGATTAAAATAATTCCGGGTTTTTTAACATATCTATTTGGCAGGCCAGGCAGGGTTCAGGTATACCAGCATATTACTAAGTACATGGCCCTACAAAACAGGGCTCTCCTGACTCTCCTTCCCCTTCAAGTTAACAGGTCAGAAAGGTGTGAAGGGACACTTTAAGGATGAAAGCACGACTTGCCCACTGCCATAAAGGCACAAAGTTCAGGAGCTTTCACAACCAAGTCCTCCTGCTGGTTCCCCTCTAGCTGCATTGCTGAGCCTTGGCTCGAAGACACTTCCTTAGAGCAGCCGCCCCTGAAGGGCTGTTGTTAAAAGGAAGCCCTTTTAATGTTGCTTAGACATTTGCCACCCACACATGGCTACTCCCTGGTTTTATGTTGTGGCACAAGGCTGGCTCCCAGGTTCACCCCCCAGTCACAGCTCAGGGTCAGAGAATCACCCCCCAGCTGATTTCCCCACCTACACACAGTCTGGGTTTCCACAGCCTGCCCACATTGACACCCCTAACATTTACACTGAGGAAATACATTTTTTCCACGAGTGAGCAGCCTAGAAAAGTCAGAGGACATGAGGAATGGGTTAACTCCCTTTCTGAATACTGAAAAATCTCCAAAAATGGCCCCAGACTCTGCCCCAGCAATGCTCAGAGTGTTTCAGCAGATAGTGCAGAGGCGTCTTTCCTGCCCACTTTTGCAATTTCCCCTGTGACCTACATCTGCCCTTAGTGAGCCCATGGCTGATGCTCAATTTGCTGTTGTCACCTTTGAGACTGTGAGCTCTAGAGACATGAATTAATGGGATAAATCCTGAGGGAGTCAGAGTCTGGCTCCTGTCAGCACGCTCACATGGATGGGATTGCAGCTGCTGTAACCAGCAGACAGCAGAAGCCATTCAAATGTCTATAAAATACCACTGGGGCACACTCTTAGCCTAAAGGTCACAACAGCACACTGTCACACTGATGTCTCTCACCCACGCCTGGTTGGCAGTGAGTGTCATTACCAGCTTGGGCTTCCCAGTGATGCTATGAGCAGTGCTACACACCTGGCTGGTTCACGGAGGACAAGCTGGCCCATAATACCTGTCACCTGACTTGTAAAGACACCAAATAGTGGCATGTTGGGTCCCCACACCCTGGGCTCACTGTCCTGGGGTGCACCAGCCCCGATGTGCCCACTCAGAAGGGTCACCAGCCCAGCCTGGCATCAGAGGCTGCACAGGCTGCTGGGCTCCCTGGGGAACCTGCTGCTGCCAGCAGGGCAATTTCCAACCATTATGGGTTTTATTTCAGAAATTGCTTTCTCATGACTGAAAATATTAAATTTTAATTGTCGGTTTGTGTGAGGCGAGGGTGGGGAGGGCACTCTGGGTGGAGAAACTGTCAGCGAAGCGTTGAGCTGCTGGGAGCAGAACAACAGAGGGCACCAGAGCCCCCACTGCCTAAACCTAGGTGATAAATGAAGCACTTTTGGTGAATACGAGTTCATTGCTGGGTTTCAGCGCTGCCGAGCTGTGACAGTGGGCTCTGGGACAGCTGTGCCCTGCACTGACACCTGTGACCCCCACGGATCACCTTCCCTGCCAAGACACTGCATTGACACTGCAACCTGTCTGAGGACCAAACCCACCTGAGGCTGCACAAGAAGCAGGTAATGGCTTTTAATTCTCTCCACACCCGTGTGTGGCAGTGTGCTCTGCTCAGTGCTTCAGGGTGTGCTTTCTCACCTCTAGCCAGCGCTCCTGCATGCGAGTCCTCAGCTGAACACAGGTGCCCTGGTTTCCTCCTGCTTTCACAGCTGTTATGCCTCACTGTTTTGCAGCCACATGTGTCATTCAGGGGGGTCTTCATCCCTTGCTGCAGTTTGACATCAGTGCTTCTTCCCGTGCCTCTTCCATGAGCATGGCTTCACCTGGCTCCAGGCACACTGCGACACACGACCTTGGGAACTGCCACTGGCTCTGTGCTTACATGGGGGATCCGATGGGGCTGGGATGCCTAGCCCAGTGATTTCTGCTGCTCCTCAGGGCAATGCTATGCATGCAGAGAATGGTTCTTCGCTGCAGGGTGACCATGGCAGGCTGTCAGGGTACAGCTGCAGGGTGGGCTGTAGCTAGGACACCGTCCATATGCTAGTTCCTCCATAAATTCCACCCTAAAAATGACTCTACCCCTGTTGTTCACTAACACCATACCAGTTCTGGTGCTAAGGCAAGTGCTGCACTTTGCTCTGTGGTTGCCAGACCTGTCTCTGAATCTTGGACACTAAAAACAGTTCACTTCATGCAATCTAACATTTTCACTACAGTTTATGTGTTGATGTTTAGAAGCTGCTGACTTATAAGGCAATGTATTTGTAAGAGACTGTAGGAATCTGCATGTCTGCATCACTGTAAACAGTTCCTTTATGAGCTGCAAAGTGATTCATCCTCCTTGCTGGGAGCGTCTGTCTTGAAATACTTAAAGGAATAGCAGGAGGTAGTCTAAGTTCTTGGATTCATGTTTTCTGCTCTAGCAAAATTTTGGTTTCTTGTCTTCAGCAGCAAAGCAAGGGCCTTGGAGGGCAAATGGGCAATGCTGCCCAGCTCTGCTGTGGGCTGCTCTAAAGCCAGTGACTCTCTGATAACCACAGCAGCGACAAAGGTAAGGGCCAAAAAAATTTATCAGTTTGCTTTGCAGACTCTTTGCTATTACCCAAACTGTGTATACCAGGACTGGAGGGAGGGTGAGGCAGGCTTAACCCCGCAATAGCTGCAAGAGAGGGTTGTCTCTGTTTATGTGTTAGCTGGTGGTGAGTGACAGTGTAAGTTTGATGGCCAAGGGACTGATGGTGCTGATGAGCCACTGGGCCCCACCAGAGGCTGCCTACATGTGCAGTGCAGGGACATGAGGACCTGAAAAGCCATGAGATGGGGGGCACTGCAGCAGGACCCAGCCCAGAGATCTCACACCTCCACTCTCTCCTTGCAGAGACAGATCAACATGAACTGCACCGATGATGATGAGCTGAATGATGCCATTGCCCTCTTTCAACTGATTGTCTACATCCCAGTGCTCACTTTGGGGATCCCACTGAACATGATTGCCTTCTGGGTCTTCTCCTGCAAACTCAAGAAGTGGACTGAGACCAGGGTGTACATGATCAACCTCATGGTTGCAGACTGTTTTCTGCTCTTTTCCCTGCCTTTCATGCTATACTTTACCAAGTACAGACATCCCGTAGACCAGTTGTGTTTGGCCATACAAAACATCTATTTTACAAACATGCCTATGAGCATCCTTATCATCATGCTGATTGCGATTGATCGATACATTGCCATCAGGTTTCCTCTAAAGGCAAAGATTCTTCGATCGCCGCTGAAATCAGCTTCTATCTGTGGGTTTCTTTGGGTAACACTGATAATTTATTCCAACTTGCGTCCAAGACTTCAAACAGGATGGGAAGGATCCTGCTTTCGAAGGTATTCTGTTGAACCAAATTATTCATCATTATTCTCCTCTATCTTTGGGTATTTTATTCCCTTAGGCATTGTGATTTTTTGCTCAGTACAAGTCATCAGATGTCTCAGAAAGAACATGACCACAAGCCCTCATGAGACAAAATTAATCCAGAAAGCCATCCACATTATTTCTGTGAATTTGTGTGTGTTCACTGTATGTTTCTCACCTTTCTACATTGCACTGCTCTTGAGGTTCACAGTGAATGTTGCTGAAGCTTGTTCTCTGGTCTCAGGAGTTAGAACCTATATTAAGATCTCTGCATGCTTAGCAAATTGTAACTGCTGTTTGGATGCATTTTGCTATTATTTTGCAGCCAAAGAATTTCCAGAATTCCCTTCTATATTTCCCACCTGTATATCTGTGAGGTCTAAGATGAATCAAAGCCAGGAATCACAGCCACCCACAGATCAAGTCAAGGTGTAGTGCACAGCAGGTAATACTTATTACAGGGCTGCTGAAGTTTTGAGGTAGAGGGAATAGGCCACCTACAGTATTTGCAATCACTGTAGGTATAGGCATACCTGCAAAAAGGGGCAATCTCTTCCAAAGGTAATGTCCTCAGTGACTTGAATCCAGCTCTGACTATTGTCTTGGATCCTTGCATTGCAGCTTCAGGCACTTTCTCGTGATAGCTATATCCAACCAAGTTGGCTTCATGGTCCTTGATTTTCAGTGTCTTCTGACTTGTAAACCATAAAGGTTTCCTCCAGGGACTGCAAACCCATATTCTGCTCATTTAAACCTAGAGACAATTAACTTTCCTAATAACAACTGACAAATAGTTCCCCTACAAGCCTGTCACCTCCTGGTGTCTGCAGAGTATATACTGAAACCACTTTCTAGACATTGGCCAAACAACATAGGAAGAGACTATTCCTATCACAGAAAGTATCCCTCATCCAAATGTTACATTTACCTGCTTTGTGTCAATACTTGGGCAACGTGACAGTAAAGGGGAAATTAGTGGACTAACACAATCCCTGTCATCATTAAGTAATATTTTTTGGTTTTTTGCACTAAATGCTATGAAAACAAAAAAGAAAGCATACTTTTGCAAGTGAAAATAAAACTCATAGTAATATATCTATTAATAAATATTCATTTATTACCTCTATGATTAATGCTAAACCTGTACTGAGATTGGGAGAGAAGACAGAGCTACCATGATATAAGATCTGCCTTACAACAGTGAATCAATAGTGGAACCCAAAGATGAGCAAGGAACTTTTTGATTACCTGAAGATGTATGTTCTACCTTGGACAAAAATTATCTGGTTTACATGTCACGTAATAATTATGTTTATGGTTGGTTTCTGACATCCTCCTTCAGTCTGAACAAAACCTCAGCTCCCTGAGGGCTCCCAGTAAATGGACAGATGACTTACCAGAGCCTGCGCCACAACAAACTACCAGCCACCATACAGCACTGGAATAGCAATCCATGAGGACAGCAACATGGTTATCCACAAATCTTTTCTGTTTCCTAGCACAAGAGTCTGGCAAACAATAGTAGGGAGCAGCAACCACAGTCCATCAGCAGCCCAGAGCAGAACCACTGCATTTTGCTAACATTTCAGTAAGATATAAACTTCCTGTCCCCTAAAAGAAAAAGATGGTAGATGAGTAAATTGATGCTGCAGACAAAATTTAAGCTTGAGAGAAAAAAGAAACCACACAGAAAAGCCTGCAAAATAATTCAGAATCTTGCTTCTATGTGAGTGAGTAGTCATCAGATATAGCATTGTTAGCCCTCCTATGCAGGGAAGGCAGGGACTGGCATAAGACAGTATTTTGCTGTTTGGTGGCATTTGGGCCAGCCTAAAATCTGAGTTCTCACCAGAGGTTTGAGCTCCAGGGTGCTGAAGGACACATGTTTGGGAGTTGTGAGTCAGGTGCTGCTTTTGGGTCCTGGAGGTATCTCTGTGATTTTGCTTTGCTGGTGCAGCATAGCTGTACCAGTCGTGAGCACTGCCCGGCAGTGTCCAGGGAGCTCTGCAAGCACCGAAGCAGTGGCGGCAGGTGGGAGCACGTGCTTTGCCACACCCTCCCTGGTGTGTTTGCCAGTGCCTTCAGTGTTGGTGCTGCATGAGTGCAGAGAGGGCTACGGCACAGAAAATGCCCTGTCAGCATGTTATCTGCTGTGGCTCAGTTCCATGCAGTGCTGAGGAAGGTCCCAACAGCCAGGGCTGGTCACTGTGTAGGATTGGTGCAGTTAGCCTAGCACTGCCATTTCACAGGCTTTCCATGCTAAAAATAGGACTGACATGTTCTGCTCTCAACCCTGAAGTTCTGTTTTGATCAAGACCTGCTGTTGCAACATTACATCTTTCTGTGAGAAAACCAAGAAAAAACCCACATGGGGCAGAGGCATTGCAGAACCTGAATGCTGCAGGGTAGCACAGTGTGCCATGTTCCCCTCGTGTGGAGAGCATACTGGTACCTCTCTCACTTAGCCAGAGGCTCTGTCCCACTGTGATATGCCAGCAGTTGCAGCCAGCAGGGCACAGTCTCTTGAGCTGTGAGAGAGGTGATGGCCATCTTCCCTGGCAGGGAAAGGAGGCAGGAGCCCATCAAACCCGTCTGTCAGCAATCTGTACCAGGAGCACAGAAAAACCACATCAGAAGGGCTTTCTTCAGCTGGTAAACAAATTCAAGCAGGACATCAGGCAGAGCCTACAATGGAAGGAAAAATGGTTGGGCAGAAAAGATCTGCCCAAAAAAAAAAATCTTCTAGATCAAACAGGTCTTAGCAAATTCTTAGATATGAAAAGCTACTTACAAATTACAATTACTGCTGCAGATAAAAACAACAAAATTGTCCTGATATGTCCTGAAAACTACCTGATTACTTTGTTACAACTTTCAGTAAGGATGAGGAATCAGAGAAGTCTGAAAATGTTAAAGGAATTAAATCTCACACCAGCAACAAGGCTTTTAAGTCAGCCAGAATAGGATTGGCACAGAGACCACCAAACAGTTTCCTAGGACTAGGGAGGGGAGAAAAGGGAAGGCTCTGGCCAGTAACAGCTCTGCTATGCTCAGATCTGAAAGAAGTGCAGTTTCACAGCACATCTGAATTATTAAATGGGAGGAAACAAATAGAAAGGCAAAAGTTAAGTGGCTCTTTACCTTACAGGAATATTTTGCCCCACTGACTTTTTCATTAATAAAATGGCAGGCACAATGTGGTAGACACTGGTGTCAGTAAAAGATTCTTTGGAACACACTGCAAACATCAATGCACTCTGTACATGCACCAGTACTGCTGTAGACCCCCAGACTACCCTGCCCAAGAGCTGGCAGCAAGGAAGCAAGAAAACCAGCATGAGTGTCACCTGCACTGCGCCACGTGGTGACAGCACTGACAAGACTGAGACAGGCTGAGAACTGCAGAGACAGGGGGAAAATACCTAGTAAGCATCATTGGTCCATGGCAGAGATGATAAAAACTGTGACTGGATGGAAGCAGGGGACCATGAGCAGCTGCAGCCTAGAGGGTGGCTGATGGGGAGATGAGGTAGAGAGAAGAGAAGCACGGGGATCCTGATTCAACATTGCCCAGGAATCAGGCAGAGACCCAAGAGCCTTACCAGGAGACATGTAAGATCATCATAGATAACGCTTTATCCTGGCTTTTCCTACTGGTAGCTGATGTTGAGTTGCTTTGACATATCCTGGTGAACCTGCTGATCCCAGCCAGCTGCTTTGTGCCTGGTGACATGGTTTGTCCCTCCCTTGAAACCTCACCGGGCTGATGGGAGACCTTCGTCTGGCAACCACAGCACCAAGCTTTGAATGGGAAGCATCACACAAGAGAGGTGCTATGAGCTGAACTTCTCCAGGCTTGATTGCCTTGACAAAGACAATAGGAGTATGTGAACAACACTTGAAGATGATGCAGTTTTCTGTACTGTGGTGAAATTATCACAACCCAGAAGCTGGATGACTTTGAAACTAAAGTACTAACAAGGATCATGACATGAAAATTATATTGGTTGTAGATCAATGAGAAGGACATACCAATATGTCAATAACTTCTTACAAGCATCCACCAAGAAGCAGCCACAAGAAAGGCAAAATTTCTGGAAACCCAGAAATATTTAAGGTAAACTCTATACTGACCGTACATTGGCCAGGAAATAATCTCAAAGATTGTCTTGTGATGTGCAGACGAACAATGCAGAACTACTCCTGAAGCTGATCTAAGATGACCTGGAAAGTGGGAAGGGGAAATGTGTTTGCCCAAGACAGCAATCAAGGCACTAACAGCAGGACCTTTCTTGACGCTTATTGATCAACTCCTCTGAGCTCTTCCAGTAATGGGTTGCAATGAGCAGCTAAGGAGCAGCCCCTGCCAGGAGGCACCAGCAGCTACAGAGCAGTCACAAAGTCAACAGGTCACAGGGTCACAGTGCCACGTTTTCTCAAAATTGCTGGCTGATGAGCACTATGAAGACAAGGTAATTACTGTGATTCAGAGTGAAACAGTTATAATAATCACTAAACTAACTGCAAACCACAGCCCTCACCTCTCCAACAGCTCTGGAACCGGGGGCCTATCAGGGCTGCTCAGTCCTGGGGCTCAGCAGTGTGTAAACTAGTGCCAGCTCTCACTCCAGTCCCCGCAGGGGTGGCAGTCTGGGAGGCAGAGAGAAGACCTCAGGACTTTCCAGGTCAATGGATCCCCTCCAAGCAATGTGCACAGCTGGTTGGGAGACGAAAGTCAAGGGACATTGCCCAGTGAGACATCAGGCAATGGAAACTAAAGCAAAGGAAAACTACAAAGCCGTTCCATTGCTGAAGGAACTGTTACAGGGCCGCGTGGCAGACAAGTGTTTCTCCTCGCTGCAGGGCTATTGCAGGCTCCTCAGTCAACAGGAGGTGGTATGAGCCACACCAGTGGTGACAGAGGAAGCTCTGCTCTGGGTAAATGTCTTCAGGAGGGGCGGGGATGCTTCCTCAGCCAGTGTTGCTGCTATCACAGCCACCAGCAATTGGTCATCACAGGACACCTTGGACGGTCATGTGCAAGGAGCACTGCTCATGGTGCCCACACGACACATTGCAGGTGGTCTGGAGGAACACTCACTCTCTCCAAGAACAGCAAGCAAGCAGGTAATTTCTTCTAGCTATTTACTGACAAGGTTATTTGAACTCTGCAAGGCAGTGCCTTTCCCCAGCTATGGTGGGACACCAAAATGGTGGTAGAGAAACAGAGGGCTGGAACCAATATATTTTCAAAGATTCATTTTGATACTGGCCACATTTCACATGTTTTGGGTGCTTAAGGGCTGCCTCAGCCTTTGCTAGATCTCTCTATTGTGTCTTATGAACTACCATTATATGTAATGGGCTCATAATCCATTTGTCATGTCCAAAGCACAGAGCTGCTGCAGGCATCTGCTGTACCATGTTCCCTCACCCCTGAACAGGTCTCCTGGAATGATTCCTCTGCTGCATGATTTTCAAAGCTAACCAAGAGCTGTAGATGCACATAGATCTTGCAGCACTGCCCTATGGTTTCCTCACTGGGGGTATTTTCAAGCCCCATGAACCTGCACCCATGGAGCCATGTTCTCCTTGCAGGGAAAATCAAGACATCTCCAACATCCTGGGTCTTTTCTGTTCATGAACAGTTACACCTGGAATGTGCTCCTGCATTAACTCCTTTGAAGCAGGAGGGCAAACAGCAATATTGCCCTTATATCCAGGGTGATAAAACCACCCACTAGACCAAACGCAGCTCTTCTCTTTACACAGCTGCTGATCTCCTTTCTTGCCATGGTATCAGTGGGAGTTTTCTGGCTTGGGATTGTGGCAGATTGCTGTAATACACCTGAGATGAAGATCAACTTCGACAATCCTTGAAAGGCAGTAAGCAGACCCTAATACTCTAAATCTCACTGCAGACCACTAAACACTACCTCTGAGTACAGGATTCAGTGGCAGCTAAAACTAATGAGAGATGTACTAATAATTGCTCTTCTGACTAATGAGAAGTGATGCAGGTCCCCTCCTTCAGCTCAGGACTGAAGGAGGGGACAGCTGTTCTTTTGCCACCCACCTCCTGGAACATCTTGAGCTGTGAAGATGCTGGCTGGCTTCAGCTGAGCACTGCTATAGGGGAAGAGATGAGGGTTTAGGCATTCCCTTTCCACTATCAGATGGTTGTAACAGCTCACATAACTCCTAGTTCCAGGATATCTGCTGCTGTCTGATCCAAGCTTGATACAAAATAAATGCCCAAGTACTTTCGTCTGCCGCTCTCCAGGAGAGCAGTCTTCCTCGCACGGGACCCAGGGAGAACCTGCACTTTTCTCCACAACTGATCAGGTTTATGTCCCTTTCCCTCTCCTTCCCACTAGGTACCCTACAGCCAGCTTTGCAGAGTCATCTCCACGGTGGGGTTTTCATGGCTGGTAAAGCCCTGAACTCTCCGAATTAATCACCGATTCAGTCCGGAGCCTAGCTTCTAAAAGGGTTAATCTGCTTTTGTAGGAACTGTGCCTTTTAACACTCTCAAAATGAACCTCAGCAGCTGCAATATTACAGCCTATGAAAGTTTTTCACTTGTCCAGCTGTGTCTTTACGTCCCAGTTTTGGTTTTGGGTATTTTGCTGAATGTGTTGGCGCTGTGGGTATTCTGCAGCAAACTTGCTGAATGGACAGAAACCAGAGTATACATGGTCAACTTGGCTGTGGCTGACTGCTTGCTGCTCTTCACCTTGCCTTTTAAAACTTTATCCCAGTTCCAGAAAATGAAGGTAGATGGATGGTGCCTGGTCCTGGAAGGTGGCTATTTCATAAACCGCTTGATGAGCATTGGTATCATCACGATTGTAGCAGGTGATAGGTACTTTGCAATCAAGTACCCTTTGAAAGCCAAGGCATTGAGGTCACCCTTGAAGGCAGCTTTTATCTCTGTATTTCTTTGGATAGTCATCATCTGTGTGATATCCCTTATAAAAAAGTTAGAGGACCGAGCACAAGATGATCTTTGCTTTGAAAAGTCTTCTGTGAAGCCCTCGGTGATCACACTGTGTGCCATTATTCCAGGGTTTTTCATACCTTTAGTCATCTTGAGTTATTGCTCCATACAAGTCATTGCAGAACTCAGGAGAAAGAAGAATGAAAACTGTCACAACGAAAAGTCAGTCAGGAAGGCTGTCTACATTGTGTCTGCAAACATGGCTGTGTTTATTGTATGTTTTTTACCTCTTTACCTCGGACATCTTCTTCGCTTTATAGTGGACTCCATCAGCTCCAACTGCTCTGCAATACAGAACATTAACAATTTTGTTCACTTCGCCTCAGTCCTCGCAAACACGAACTGCTGCCTGGATGCTATTTGTTACTACTTTGTCAACAAGGAATTTAAGGAAGCATCTTCCAAGCTAGCAAAGTCCAAATCTGAAGCCAATGAAGAAGCTGAAATTCAGCTCACAGGGCCAAGAGCTGGACTCGGTGATTCTCATGGGTCCCTTCCAACTCCAACTATTCTGTGATTCTGTGGCATAACATGTTTGTGCAAAACACAGCATGCATTTTATACTTGCTGTGTTCAAGTTCAACTGGGACTCAGCAGCAGGCTTTCACACCTGCTTTTTGTGAGGGTGGGATGGAAGAACATTCTGCTAATGGGAAGCATTCAGATACATGAAAATTAGCTCTGACTCAGACAACCACAGCAGTCCAGATCCTGATGTAACGGTCTACATTGCAACTGATAATTCTCTGCCTTAAGCAAATTTTGGTAAAATGGTAGCTTTCCCCTGCAAAAAAAAATCCCCTGTCTTTAATTTTCTCAGAAAACCCAAAACAAGTACAGGCAGTGGTAAAGGTTTTGGTTTTGTCCCTCTTCCCCACTTTGGACCAGTTTTTATGCAACTGTAACAAAGAAACAGAGGCTATTTTGAATATCAAAAAAGTTTTAAAAAATCATAGTGAAACCACTGCAGAAAAAGAAATGAGAGTTTTTTAAAAAGTCACAGACATCTTGGTGTTTAGTTGTTAAGTATGCACAATCCCAGTACCAGAGGCAGGTTTAGCCTGCTTTAGACAACTTTACAGCAATGTTAGAGCTACAAAACAGTCATCGTTGCAATACAAGGTCAGGAGAAACTGCAATTGCTTATACTGGGGAAAAACTTTACATCAAAAGTGTTTGAATCAAATGGCATTAAAATTACTACCCAAAGAGTTGGTGCAGGGCAATGGACATATGAACTCTATTCAACCTTATAATGTAAAGGACTATCTAAAGAACGTGGCAGCAAATTGTTCCAAAGAAATAAAGTTGTGTTATTAGCACAGTTTTCTAGTGAGTTAAATGGAAAAAGGTGGGAGATGGGGTGGTACAGGACCTGATCTGCTGTTTGTCCCTGGGTGGGATAGCTCATCCTCCTGCTGTCCAAGCAAGGGGTAGCAGGTATTGGCTGCAACTGGGATTGGAATTTTCCAAAGCAGAGCAGTGTATGGCACCCCATGATGTACTTACCACAAAGAGCTAAGTATGTAAAACCACTATCTAGCCTCAAGCCACATGCCCCAGGATGGGACATACTAGGCACACACCTTCACTTACACCTTCTAACCTCAGATTGGGTTTCCATCCCCCTGTATGTGCTGGGCCAAATCCTGCTCCACCTAAGCTGCTTTACAGCCCCCACATTCACCCTTTGCGTCTCCTCCTACTCACGACACATGCCAAAAGGAGAAACCCCCTCAAGGAGAGTTCTGCTGCAGACACCTGTTGAGCAGGGCCCTCCATCCACCTAGGCAGTGGCTGTGCTGCTGCCCAGCAAAGCTCTTTGCACCTGCACAGGACAGTGACGAAACACTGACAGTTTCTGGAGGGGATGCAGTGCAGGCCTCTCACCATTCTTGCCAGGGATTCTGGTAAAAATGGTGATATCTGCTCTGTCATCACCAAAATCTGAAAGCAGAATCTCTCCTTTGCTTACTACAGAATGGGGAGGGAGAGGAGGAGAGGGTCTGGCTGCTAAGAAAGACCTTTTAAGGAGGTTGGCTTCTCCCCTTTTCTATACTTGCATTTTCTTTTTAAAGATCAAAGCAGCAATGAAAGGCTCTGTGCAGACAGAGATGGGTTATCTTCTCCTGGCTCAGTCCAAGGTGCAGCAGGGCCCTGGCAGGCACCCTGCACTGCTCAGCCTGGTGCAGCTGGGCTCACACCTTGCCTTCCCCAGCCCTGTGCACTGATGTGTCTCCTGCACCACTGTAGTAACACATGCACTTTTGTGACTGTAATTTGATGATGGACTTAATGGTTTCCTAATAAAACTAAACATACCCTTAAGATTCCCTCCCCAGCATAGGACTTGTGTGGCGAGAGCACAGCGATTTGAGAGATTACCTGATTGCCAGTGCATTTTTTCTACACCTTCAGTCTCAACAACATGGATGTGAACTCTTCCGGCATGAAAGCTCTGCACAAACAAAACTGCTATTTTAGGTGAGTAGGAAAACAACTTCTACTCCAGTAACCGCTAATTAAAAGGGTGGAGGAGATACAAAGCAGAATACAAAGCCTTTTCAAGCAGATTCTGCTAAGCCACTTCTAGTAACACCCCTTCCTCTAGCAGCCATTTGCCCAGAAACACATACCATGAACACTTAGTTTAGCTTAAGTTGGCCAAACCTTCTCACCACAGAAACCTCACACCAGAGCCTCTGTACACCTGCGAGTCCTCAGGTGCTTACTGAGGTTTAGAGTGGGAGGGAGCCTTGGCAGGGCTGTGTAGGAAACAGTTGGGTTGTGCCAGTGCAAGATGGTGCTGGGCAGGGAGTGCAGGGATCATCATCATTGCCACAGCAGCTCTGAGAGAAATGCCACCACCGCTCCTGGGGACAGTCCAGGAGCAGCTGGTTACCAGGGGCAAAGAGGCAGGACAGCATGTTCCACTCTCAGAAAAGGAGTGTGATAAGCAATCCCTTTGACATAAGACTGAAACGTCTGTTCTTCAACATTCAAGCAGGGCAGTCAGGGATTCAAATGTGTTGGGGCTGAAACACACAACACAAGGACCAAGAAACCACCTCAGGTTTCCCAGCTAGAAAACTGGTTTATGTTGTTCTGTTTATTCAGTTTCTTGCTTTTCCCACCTGGGACTTTTGGGCTGATTAGTAGAGAGTCCTCTAAATTCATAACCTGTCTGGCCAAGATATCCCACAACCTACAGAGAAGAGCTAAGGGATGAATTAAGCAGTGAGGAGGCAGCAGTGATCTACAGTAGTAGACATTGCTGGTGGGCTCAGTAACCTGTGGGAGACAAGGGGGATCCAAGCACTTGTCAACAAGATACTGCTTGAAAGGGAGACAGTCCTCAACCCACACACAGACATACCATAACTATCCAGGTGGTGCAGGCCTTGCCTGGCTTGCTTTTATCTTGCTGTAAAAAACTCTAGCTATTTCCCCACATCCACCAAGCTTTCACAGGTGTGCAACTTAACCTTCATAGCATAGGATGCACTCTGTCTTTCAGACTTGCCAGATTTATCTGGAGCCAAGACTCAGCAACATTGCCCTCATGCTTTCCAAGTGATTAGGCTATAGGTGTGAGGAGGACTGGAACCTACAGCTGGCAGACTGGCTGAGAAGGCATCTTCCAATATGCATGACTACATCCTGCCCTCATCAGGCCATGCTGTCCTCCCTGGCAGCACAAGACACAGGCAGCACAAACATCTTGCACTGGTATCTCCTACATTATATTAATTCTGTGATTCTATGAATTGATGACAGAGCTGGATACAGACAGTGTAATACCTGTCAAAAACACTGAATGGACATGTTACAAGAACAGATCTATTGGAGGTATGAATAGAGCTGCTGCAGCACTTGGAGGTGGCTGCATCGGCAGGACACAGAGGGGCGGAAAGCACCCAAACCTCCCTCTGACTTTCATTTTGTTGCTCACATAGGTCTGGTAACATCTTATACCAGGCATCTTGCTTGGGGCTTTCCATTTGCTGTTGCTGTCACATTTTAAATGAACCCTGCTGCCAAGTACTGAACCAGGGCAGCTGACTGAAAAATGAGAGTTCAATTGAATGTCAGGGGTGGGGGGAAAGTGTCAAAGCTGTCACCGAAAAACTGTGACATATTTCAAAAATGTTTGTATTGACTACAGAAAAAGAGGGCATTTTTGGGGAAGTGAAATTGGGGTGGCTCATTAACGTTAGTTTGAGATAGAATCAATCTCTTTCCGTTTCTGAATGAAGGCTCACAAACATCACCAAGCTGCTCTAAGGGGATGAGCTGTCCTGTGTGGGCAGTGCATGTACCAGCCAGGGACAGTGTCTGACACCATGCACTCCTCATCCTTAAAGGTGCTAAAAGGCTGCAGCATCTGCAACCCTGTCCATCAGAAACCCTGGCAGCAGTCTGCCAGCAGCTTTACTAAGTTCAAAATTCCATTTCACTTCTGCCTGCTGACATTTTTCTACCAAGATGAACACTTCCTACCTCTCCCTTTCTGGCCCTTGGCTCTCAAACCAGGCTCCCTGCTTTGGCTCTGTAAAAATTTGGCACAGGTATTTCAAGCCTGACTTTTATCGGCCACAAAATTGCAAAAGCAAGTCTGTAGGTCTCTTGCCCTTGGTGAGTACCACAGCCCACAGTCCCTTTTTTAATCCTTGCTCTATGTTGCTGTATAAAAATGGGCTCCAGAAGCATCACATTTCCACCAAAAGTCACATTACACTAAGCAGGGGCCAAAGGACCAGTTTTTCTGAGTGCCCCAGCAGAGAAACTCTGCATCATCTCCATCATACCATCATGCACACCCCACTCGGGCCACATAGCTACTCTATGTTACTGCAGCCATTTCATGCCTTAAGTTAAGACTTTTACACTTCACCCCATCACAAAGGATATTAATAATTTATCCTGAGAAGAGCCCTTGGTGGCAGAAGGAAGGGGACTGCATGATCTAATCTGGTTCTGCAGCAGAGGCAGCAGCAGACAATTGCTCACCAAGCCACTGTGGGCAGGGCAGGGCCACGCAGGCAGAAGGCCAGGAGTGATCTTGGGGCAGGAAGGAAGAGGTTCTTGTTTAAGCTATAATTTAACAGAAAATTAGACCTTTTACTGCTGCTCACTGCCTTTCCTTGGCAATTATTCTGGTGAATGGAAGGATGCAGCTGATGTTCCAATACCTTTCTACTCCCCCCCAATGGCAATTGTATAATCATGAAGAATTAAGTCCTTTATTTTATCACTTCAAGGCTGCTTCCTGTCACGTTCTGGACACTGACCATATCAGAGTAGAGTGGTATTTAACATGCCCTTGGGGCTGCTTCCCAGTCCCCTCTGCCAGGTCCAGGGGCCAGAGTGAGCTCTGTGCCTGGGAGGAGTGTACCCACTAGCCACAGTCCTTCACCACTACTGGGATCTTTGCTCTCTGCCACTACAGTATCACGTTTTCATCTCGAGTCACATGGAGATATTCACAGTGTTTCAATGATTTTAGAGAGGGGGTGG